CACGGGAACTGCATATGAAAAAATTAACACACACAAGGTTAATCAAAGTGTACAGTGTTTGACTTTTGACGGTAATTAGTGAGGAATATAAACCTCTTTTTACAATAAAATGTTTGGAGGAAGACTTCAAATCGTCCTCTTTTCTCTCTCTAGGAGCGGTTCCAAGTTTTACCAGCATAGGTGTGGAAAATATTGAATGACAGTAAAATAGTAAATAACCAGCGTCTTTCAACCAGAACTGCTCTGATTCACATTTTGTGCAAGTTATTTTACAACTGCATATTGTGTCTGACGCAGTTGAACATACCTTTTCCAGCATTTTGATCGTTGCTGCTACGTTGATCCATACTCTCTTGTTCGCTACTTATATAGAAAAAAAACGAGTCATTTTTTTCTATGATCTTGGGAATAACAGCTCGTTAAGTCCTTCCTTTACAGGAAGTGAACGCAAGTGCACCAAGACACTGATTAAAGGAGAACTTAACTCCTTGGAATAGACCTTGCGTCACCTGATTTAAAACTCAAGCGAGGAAAGAAAGCTAAAACTATCTGAGATAAATCTGACACTGTAATTAAAAGAAGGAGCAAAATTCAAAACTGAAATTGTGTCGAATAGCTTATACCTGCTAAATACAGAAGCGATTACAAAAACTTAATTTACCAGCTTGAAATCATGAATAACTATCGTTTTCAAGATTATTTTAGCTGAAATGTTTAGCAAGTTCACAGAACTTTCAAAATCGTGAGCGGCGTTGATTTTCCAACAACGCCAAATTTGGCTATCGTGCAAAACAAGCTCTAAATATGTGAATTAAATTTTGTAATTTCCTCTATTTATATATTTAATTATCAACTCTTGTGCCCGGTGTTCTTCGAACATTTAATTTGAAGTAAAACTTTTTCTGATGAAAAATTCAAAAGAAATGGTGCTTATAATTTCAGATTAGCCTCACGCAACGCTATCCGCCAACTTGAAGTCACTTTCCCGATTACTCCCTGCTTTATGCTCCAGCTATTCCTACGAAAATTACGAAACAAACTGGAAGGAACTGTCATTACCTGATCAAATTTTCCTCATCCCTGTCTGAGGGAGTCTACAAAAAATCAAGCCAATCACTGATGTTAATACAGTTGATGGATTCCAAAACAAAGAAATTTGAATATACCTCTCAAGTAACAAAAGAAATTATCAAGGAAATCGAGGAGATTCTTGAGCATTTCCTTTATGATAACTTTATGTTTTTTCTTTCTAAATATTTTTGCCTTTTCAACCTCTAAAACTGTAATCAATTACTTTATGTCCACCTCAATTTTAAAAATAGTTAACATTGTCCTCGTGAAATAATGTTTAAAACACTATTGCTCGTTTCTTAAACGATAGTTAATTAACACGAACCTCAACTCTTGTCTCAGAATACGAGCCCTTCACTCGGTGGTTAATGATCTGTATGCACATTTCAAGGTACATAGAAGTCAGGCCATCGTTAACGAGGTCGTCAAGGGACTCAAATCCCCTTCCACCTTAAAGAAATGGCTCCTTTAAAACTCACTTTACAGATTTTAAAGTATCTATCTATCTATCTATAGTTCTTTGGCATTACAAAGCTTTGCTTTTATGTCCAAATCGAGCACTCTACTAGGATGGGTCATGTCATGCAATTGTGCGATGCCCAGTAGCTACTGGTTTTAGCACTGTGGCATGGCCTAGATGATACCACAAAAGTGGAATCATCGGGGGTGGCTAGATGGCTTTACCTTCATCCTAGAATCAGCACTGCACTGAAGAGGCACAGAAGGCCGAAACGATACTGTTCTATGGTCTATGGTACCGTGCGTGTATCCAGTAACAGACCAGAGAAGCCGTGAAAATGTGGTAAGAACATTAGTTATACACTGGGCTGCGTCTCGTGTGCCACTTTTTTGTTCTTACCTCATTTTGATGTCATTTATGATCTATTAGTAAAGAGACGCATTGAAAGATTGAGTCTACTAGTTAAATCTATATATATGCATACGTAGACATATATCAATGGACCAGATCGCTAAAAATGTTTTGATTCATAGCAGAATTTCGCCGCAACTTACCTACATAATGCATTTTGCCATCATACTGCAGATTTAAGTGCTTATTACTTCCAAAGAATCTTAAAAGAAAGAGCATGAGGTGATATAGGTAACTTATGAGATACTTAAATGAATCCATATTAGTTTTAGTGCTAGCTGTGGTAGAGCAGGACAAAACTGGGGAAATATTAAAAAAATAAAACATTGCTCGAGACTGGTAAACAGCTCAATGTCTCATTTATGGTTGCCCTATTTTGGGCATGATAATTCCTGACTAATGCAATCTACAGGTACAGCTTAAGACATCTAATTTTTGAGCGCTTTCCAGATATATTAAAACTTGGGCATTACCTGAATGTGAGAGCGTAACAGGGAGCGTCATCATTCATACTTTCTCGAACAAGGTAGTGCCCATCTTCATACTGAGTAACAATTTTTTCAGCTTCCTTGGGTGAGAGGGAACCATAAAATCTAAAAGTCAATAGTAACAATAAGAATATCAATAAGAATATCAAGAAAACGGATAAGCCCAGAAAGATCGTGCTCTATATTGGGAACTAAACTTAATGTTGTCAAATCTGGTACGGATCTGGGAGTTATTGTAAATAATGACCTGAAAAAATGGACAATCGCATGATAGGTTTTATTAAACGTATAAAGGCTGATAGTTTCGAAAGAAACTGTTTGGGGCTGCGTCGGTGGGAGTAACGAAATAATTTGGATATATCAACAAAGTTGAAATGGTAAATTGGACACCGTAACGTAATTAAACGTAATTGTATAAGAGACCTCAAAAGAGACCTCGTGAAGACCCCATATCTATCACTGGTAAGATAACATCTCTGCTACGCGTCTCAACTGTGGGCTCCCCAATCTCGCACATCAATGGTCGAGATCGAAAACATCCCCGCGCAGAGCCACGGATGGCCTCTCTTACAAGGAACGTTTATTAGAACTGAAATTACTTCCCCGGAACTATTGGCTGGAATATCTAGACATTGAAAATTAACGACCTCTTTGAGTTTTGTGGTGGGCGCTCCTGCCGTGGCGCTTTTGGTCTTTTAATCAGAAATAAGAAAGCTAAAATCTCACTCTATAGAGATTCCTTTTTTGTAAGAATCTGTAACATATGGAACGCCTTGCCAGATAACTTAGGAGCAGAAAAGGAACTACCGTCTTTCGTCAAAAAACAAAAATCTTTCTTTTATCTAAGACTTAGCAAAGTTTTTAATCTAGACGATATCCGCTCCTTCAAATTAGTTTGTGTAAAATGTCGTTTCAAAGTTCTCAATTCTTGTACATGCCATCCAACTGTTTTTCTTTTCTTATTATTTTTATTTATTTATTTTTTTAGCATGGAGGCTTGTAAGTGGGTCGGGTTTCAATTTTGTCTGCTTTTGGGGGATAGGGTAAGGTAATTTACCAAGTAGTCCCCTACTTGGCAAATTAACCTTGTCCTGTTGTCCTGTTGTCCTAGTCCTATTGTAAATTTACCTGCCTTTGGTAAATTGTTAAATAAATAAATAAGTAAATAAAAAAATAAATAAATAATCATGATAACGATGATAAATAAAGAAAAATTATATTAAAAAAAAAACAATACAAAACACAGCAAATAAAAGATAACTAGTATTTCAGAAGAGCACAACCTTTTTTATTCACCACCTAAACTTCATTGGGCTAGCTATGGGGCTGTCAGCTTTTCAGTGGAAGTGTTTGAAGAAGGAAAAAACCCTTAAGGGTCACTATGCGCTTTTCATGAAGTATTCTTGCTTTCAGTTAAAGAAATTCTCTAGCCTCTTAGGGCACTATATCGATATCATGCGTGCATCGAAGTTTGTTGTTCTTACCATGTTTCATTGCAAACTACTTAAATTCCGGGACAAAAACAAAGAAACACCTGTAACATTTTACCATCTAGAAAACTTTATGTATATGTAACTACAAAGTATTAGCCATTTTACTTTTGGGAGAATTGTTATGGATCAAGCGTTTTCACCAAGGGTATTGTAACTACAATTTATTATTTACGCCCCTAGTATTACTTTCAAAGTTCACGATTGATACGTACTCATTCCCAAAGTGGGCTGGTTTATTCTCAGGAATCTGCATTAAAACATAGATACCAGAAATTATTGTTAAAACGTGCATATTTTAGCATTTGATATCCACTAATTGAGTTCAGTTAGTGCAATTCATCAGGTTATCGACCGTCAAAGTGGTTTTCTAAAACCCACCTCCGATTCCTGGGACTTTCCAGAAATGAGTATCACGCGACAACGAACAACGCATAGAACTGAAATTATGCCTAACTCGCTTGCTACAACGATGGTTACCGTTTACCGCTTTATTTCCTATTCAAATGAATGATAGTGTGATGCACTGTGCATCACACCCAATTTATCAAGTCGGTAAATACATACCGTCTGACATAAGATTTTCGTAGCTTTCGGGGTGTTTCGTTTAATTGCATTTACTGCAAAAGAAAAGAGAACTACCTTCACCTTTAACGTTTCAAGGAGAAACAGAACGTAAAAAACATTTGGATGACTTACTAAACTGGTCCCAAATACTTTCTTCAGGTTCACAAACTGGAATAAAAGTTTTTTTAAAGTATAGGTTAGTATGGTAAATTAGAAGAACTTCCACTTCATACGAAACGCGTGCAAAAATGGAGACAATGAGTCACAGGCCCCTTAACTGGGAGTGAATCAACAGTAACCATATATGGCTACGGTCGCTATTCGGCAAAAAAAAAACCTAGAAGCAAATAAACACAATAAGACAAAACTGAAAGTATGCACTAAAGGCTTGTAATGAACTGACGTCAAATATCGCATAATGGCTTTACTTAATTTTTCTTACACACCATTTCCACCTATATCCACATCGCTTCCGTGTTTTCTAATAAAAGATAAGATGGAATAAAACCAAAAAAAATGCAGTTAAACAATATAGACAAAAAAAGAAGACAACGTGTTAATGCTAATGTTGATGTTTCTGTGGGATGCGTGGAAGGTTAGCGCCGCGAAGTATTAAGTTGAAGTATTGGTTTACAATGAATCACTGGTTAAAAAAAGAAATGATCATGGTGATGAAGAAGGTGTCAGTGATGTGGTGACAAGGGTAATGGTAACAAAAATGGCGACAATAACAGTGATGTTGGTTATAGTGCATGAAAATTATATTGGTAACTAGGAACATGCTTGTGGTTGTCATGTGGGAGGTGCTTGTGGTGCTTCCGACAATCAGTAACAGTGATAGAGATGACATTACATTACCTACCTCGCGCTGCTAGTTAGTAACTTATCGTCATCACTTTTTAGCTGAAATAAAGTTTCGAATGAGCTTCATTTACAAGCACTCAATTATTTGTCTAAATGCGTTTTTCCAATTATGTGCGAATATTGCTGAGATTTAAAAAAAAAAAAATACGGGGACTTCAGTTTGATGGAAAGAGTCTGGAGTTGTCCACAATCCTGCTCCCTGCAACATCGAACCCGAAGTAAAACCGGGGCCACCCGAAATCGAGCACCGGTTGATCTGGCGATGCCCTAACTAAGGCAACTTTTAAATAAAGCACCATGGCATCATATCTCATGACCAAACGTTTGTTATTGAAATAGGCGTCTTTCAGATCGGATTCGATGAAAAACTAAAGTCACGCGATTGCGTCTCCTAAATGGGATTTCGATTGAAATTTGGTGTTAATAAGCACAAGTAAATTTTTCAAGGACAAAATACTTGTGCGAGCTCGTTGGCGAGTGCAATTTGTAGTTTTTGACAAATTTATGAGTGCTTACTCAAACCAAAATGTACGAATATCATGTTGTTACTTGTAAGTTATTAATTTACATGAAAAACGCATCACAGAAAAGTCAAGATGGACGAAATTTTGGCAGCGCGCGCACTCTTTGCAATTTGCGCTCGCGTCATAACTTTGCACCGTTTCGTGTTATATGAAAAAAATGCACTCGTTTTCAGCCAATCAGACGCGCGTAATTTTTTCATGCAT